CTACTACTACTACTACTACTACTACCTACTAGTACTACTACGACGGCGAGCAGTACCGTTATTTTTATACACGGCTACGACTACTGCTAGTATTGTTTCTAGTACCACTTCTATTACTCGATCTATAACGATTATTATTACCACTACTACGACTACTACGACTACTACTACTACTACTACTGCTACTACTACTTCAACTACAAATACTTATATCACTACTACCGCGACTATTATAATTACTGCGACTACCACGCTACCACGACTACTCCTATTATTACTATGACAAGTTTTACTACTACGGCTACTACTACTACTACTACTTCTACCACTTGTGCTCTGTTTTCTATCACTACTACGACTACTACGACTACTACTCTCACTACTACTACTACTACTACTACTACTACTACTACTACTACTACTACTACTACTACTACTACTACTACTACTACTACTACTACTACGACTACTACTACTACTACTACTACTACTACTACTACTACTACTACTACTACTACTACTACTACTACTACTACTACTACTACTACTACTACTACTACTACTACTACTACTACTACTACTACTACTACTACTACTACTACTACTACTACTACTACTACTACTACTACTACTACTGCTACGACTATTGCGACCACGATTGCTACAACTACTACCACGTAGCACCCCTCACGGGGGTAGAAACCAATTAGACCAAGTGCATTTGCTGGGGCGTCACGCTGTCACCCTGCTCATCCTTTCCTCATCATGCTCGTCCTCCTCCTCATCCTTCTCCTCGTCCTCCTCCTCCTCTTTTTTCTTGTCCTCCTCCTCCTCCTCCTCCACGTCCTCCTCCTCCTCCGCCTCCCCCTCCCTACCTCGGGCGTGATGGACCATGGGACCTCATGGAGCCTCCTGGTAATGCCGGGGGCCTCCTGGGATAGCAACCTCTGGGGACTTCCTGCGGCCTCTTGAAACCTCTTGGGTTCTCCTAGGGTATCCTCAGCCCTCCAGGGCGTCCGCAGCGTTCTGGAACTTGTGGGTCGTTCAGGATACGCCCGGAGCGTGATGGGACCTCCTGGGGCCTTGTGGGACCTCGCGGGGCATCCTGGGACCTCCTGGAGCGTCCTGGAGCCTCCTTAGGATTCCCACGGCCTCCGGGGACGTCCTGAAGCCTCCTGGAGCTTCCTGATGCCTCCTGAGACCTCCTGGTTGGCGGCTCTCTAAGAAGCCACGCGCGGGGCCTCAAAATTGGCGACGGTTTGAAGGATGGGAGTGTTCCTATTGAGAAAGAGGGCGCAGTGGACGTTGAAAAATGATGACAGTTACACACTTGAGGCCCAAAACCGTGCCGGGCCCCTCCCCGCCATTCCTGGTCCTGCATAGTACGGTGCGATTTGCCCCCTCCCCGCTGTCCCGCCGGTCCCCGGGAGGGCTAGTTTTTTTGGTTTTCGCTGGTAAGAAACACTTCCCCCCCCCCTCCCGGCGGTGACGGAGGGCAGGCGGCGGGGGAGAGCGGGTTGGCAGGGTGGCTGGTTGGGCACGGAGAGCAGGCGGAGGGGATCGGCTGGTTGGCGGGATGACGGGGTGGGCGGCTGGGCTGGTTGGCTGACGGGTTGGCTAGGTGGCGGGGTGGCTGGGTGGGCTGGCTGGCTGGTTGGACGGCTTGGCAGGTTGAGCTGGCTAGGGCAATTGGTTTCGACCACTACTACTACTACTACTACTACTACTGCTACTACTACTACTACTACTACTACTACTACTACTACTACCACTACTACTACTGCTACTACTATTCCTACTGCTATTACTACAGCTACTGCGACTACTACTACTACTACTCCCACGACTACCAGTACTACAATTACTATGCTTACTATTATGATGGTTTCTACCACTACTACTACTACTACTACTATTACTACTACTACTGCCACCACCACCACTCTTACAATTACTAGTACTACGATTACGAATGCTACCACCACTACCACTATTCCTATGGATACTACTACTACTACTTATTATGATTATCATTTTTACTACTACCACCATTACTCTTACGACAGCTCTGTTACCACGACTACTACCACTACTATTACTACTACAACTACTACTACCACTACCACCACTACTACTACTACTACTACTACTACTACTACTACTACTACTACTACTACTACTACTACTACGACTACTACGACGACTACTACTACTACTACTACTACTACTTATATTACTACTAGTACTGCTACTACCACCTCCACTATCATTACGACGACTACTTACACATTCTATTATCGCTACTACTACTAGTACGACTACTGCTACGACTACTACTGCTACTACAACTGCTGCTACTACTTCTACTACTACTACTACTACTACTACTACTAGTACTGGTTGTACTACTACTACTACTACTGCTACTACTACTACCACCACCACTACTATTATTTCTACTACTAATATCACTTGAGCGACAACGACGACGAGCACTTCTGCTTCTCATTATGCGACTACGACTACCACTAGTAGTAGTAGTAGTAGTAGTAGTAGTAGTAGTAGTAGTAGTAGTAGTAGTAGTAGTGGTAGTATGAGTAGTAGTAGTACTACTACTACTAGCACTGCCGCTAGTATTGTTACTACTTCTACGACTACTACTGCCATCACGACTACGACTACGACGACGACGACTATTACTACTAATAGTACTGCTAGTACTACTACTTCTACTACTACTACTACTCTTATTACTACTACTACTACTACAGCTGCTACTACTACTACTACTACTACGACGACTACTACTACTACCACTACTACTACTACTACTCCTACTACTACTACTACTACTACCACTACTACTACTACTACTACTACTACTACTACTACTACTACTACTACTACTACGACTACTACGACGACGACTACTACTACTACTACTACTACTACTACTACATCTACTACTACTACTACTACTACTTCTGCAGATACTACTACCTACTACTTCTACTACTACCTCTTCCTCCCCCTCCTCCTCCTACTACTACTTCTTCTACTACTACTACCGCCACCACCACCATTCCTATTACTATTATTATTACTACGACGACGACGACTACTACTACTACTACTACTACGACTACTACTACTACAACTACTACTACGATTACGAGTGCTATCACGAGTAATATTACGAGCGCTACGACTACGACAACGACGACTACTAGGACTACTATTTCTGCTGCTTCTAGTTCTCGTACAAGAGCCACCACAACTGCCAATACCCATGCCACTATTACTACTCGTTGTTATTATTCCTCTCGCTATTTCTATTGCTTGTGTCATTTTCACCATACCATCACCTCTACCACTACCCTTACCATTGCTTTTATTACCAATCATATGAGCCCGAGAGTGACGATTATTCAATCGCTTCGCTCACTCCGCCGGCCCGAATTACATGATCGCTACTGCTTTGGCGCGGGCTCGGGGCCATTTCGGCGCCGCCGGAAGGAGGAAGATGAGGATGGGGAGGGGGAGGGGAGGAGGAGAAGAGGATGAGAAGGAACGGAGGAGGATGAAGATAAATATGAGGAGGAGGAGGAGGAGGAGGAGGAGGAGGAGGAGGAGGAGGAGGAGGAAGAGAAAAGGGCGGAGGAGGAAGGATCTCGATGGCATCTTGCGGCGCTCTTGGGGCCAAACAGGGCCGTCGTCTAGATGCTTTTTTGGGAGGCCCTGGAGTCTGTTGAGAGGCCGTTCCGGGGCGCCTGGGCGACATTTTTGAAGCCTTGTAGGGCCTCTTTTGAGCCTCCTTGGAGCCTCCTGGGGTCTCTTGGGGGCCTCTTGGCGGCATCTTGGGCCATCTTGGGGGCCTCTCGGGGCCTTCTGGGGCCCTCTTGGGGCGGAAGGCTTGAGGTTTCCGTTCGTGGTCCCCATCTTGGGCCCCTCTTGGGGCCGTCTTGGGGCTCTCTTGGGCCGTCTTGGGCGTCTCTTGGGCCGTCTCGGGGCCCGTTTGGGCTCTCTGGGGGCCTTCTTGGGGGCCTCTTGAGCCGTCTTCGTGCGCTCTTGGGGGCCTCTTGGACCGTCTTGGAGCATCGGAAAGCCGAAAATGCGACAAGGCCAAAATCCTTCCCAAACCATCGTAAAATTCATGATTTTGGCCTCTCGGGGCGCTCTTGTGAGGCCTCTTGGAGGCCACTTGGAGCGTCTTGGCGGCTTCTTGGGCCGTCTTGGGATCATCTTCGGCGTTTTGGAGCGTCCTTTGGGCGTCTCGGGGGCCTCTTGGGCAGTCTTGGGGGCCTCTAGGGGCCCTCTTGGCGCGCTCTGGGGGGCCTGAGAGGCCGTACCCAGGAGGAAAACCATCTCTGAGTAGACCTTCCCGGGACCTTCCCGGGCTGCGGTCGGGGTACTTTTCGCCATGGGGACCCCCAGGGGCCGCCCCGCGCGCCCGAACTAGAAGAATTGTGAACCAGTTACCGGAGATCTTAGCACGCCTCTGGCCCGTTGGGCCGGCGAATTTGTGCGACTGCAGTTGCTGCTATTACCGCCACCGTCTTCCCGACGAGCCTCCTCTGCGTCACTAGGGGCAAGCGTTTCAATCTAGACAGCCTCTGTCGTCGTCCTTGCCAGTGTCGAAGTTGTCGCGGGCGTCGGCGGAGGACGAAGATGAGGAGGATGAGGAAGACGAGGGGGAGGCGGCGGAAGAGGAGCAGGAACAAGGACCATCGGAGGTGGAGGCGGAGTTCGAGGGAGAAGGAGGTGGAGGAGGAGGAGAACGAGGAGGAGGAGGAGGTGGTGGAGGAGGAACAAGGAGGACGAGGGGGAGCAGCAGCAGGATTTCCAGCCCTTCAGGAGCTCTGTGCCGGCTCGAGACTACGCCGCAGCACTCCCGGCGGAGCTTCTCACTGTTCACACGGTCCTTGCAGCCGTCCGCTATCCGGCCTTCCCCTCCATGCCTTCCTCTCGCCGGTCCACTCTTGCCTGGCGGCGTTTACAAGGACACGTGCCGTGCCATCATAGACGACGGGGTCGAGTTCTTCTGGGAGATAGGGCCCATGAAGCAGCTGAAGGCATCCCTCTCATGGATGTTGCCAGAGGTGTCCCTTGCCAAAGGTGTCCTCGGGTTTTCCCCAGAGGCCCCCAGGGCTTCCAGAGCACCAATCACGAGGCCTGACGGCCCAGGGAACTCCAAAATGGCGCGAAAGCTGGAACACCTTGGGCAGAAGTACCCTTGGCAACTCCCGACTTTCGGTCCTGCCCCTTGCCCCTGCCTTCCTTCTGCTTTCTTCCGTGTAGTTTCTCTGTGGGCTTGTTTGGCGCTTGTTCTCTCGTCAAAGTCTCTTGTGACGTTTCTGGCCTCCCCAGTGGTTCTCAGTCTCACGTCGTGGGGTCATGTGGGTGGTGATTGTGATGGTGCAAGTAAAGGAAGATGAAGGCATCCCGATGGAGCTGCAGTCCTGTTCTTGACCGCAACAGACGGACGTCCATGACCTGATCGGTCCAGAGTGCGATTGGAAGACTTGTGCCAGCACGTTGGGCGCGAAGCCCACGCCTGTGCCCGCGCGAGCTCGTTCCCCGCCCCGTCCCCCCCCCTTCCAGGACGAGGAGAGGAAGGGAAGTGGAGAGGAGGAGGCAGAACGGAGGGAAGGGAGAGGACCCGATGGGTGGGGCCAGGGGGGCGGGAACCCAGGTGCGGCCCAGGGAACGGGGCTCCAGCGCGGCCTCGGGTTGCGGGCTCGGGGTGCCAAGACAGTTGAGGGCGACGAAAAGGATACACACAGAAAGGGAGGGGTAGAAGGAGCAAGGGGGAAGTGGAGCAGAGGGGGGGGGGGGAAGTGGGGAGGGTGGAAAGGTGAGTGGGTTGAGGGGACGGGCGAGAGGGGAAGAAGGCGGAGGGGGTCACAGGGGCAGAGGGGAAGGGGGAAGGGATGGGGAAAGAGTCATTAGCAACGCTCCCCTCGCCCCCTTTTCCGAGCCGCCACGTGCCTTCTAACACAAGGTTGGCGGCGCCATCATAGACACATACTTGTTCGCAGCTGTTTCTGCGAGGTGACAAAAGCGCGCCATCCCCTCCTCCCAGGTCGGTCGCACACCTATACATATACACCTATCGTAAATTCGTTTACCGGACATTGTCGCCATGGCGACACGAAGGTGCCCAACAGTAGTAGGCGATATACATGTACAATATCATTATCCCAGTGCGACCCTACCTAGGAGTTGGAGCCTCTAGGAAAGCAACATTAGTAGGAGCGGTAAACGCCGTCCTCCTCCTTCTCCTCATCGTCGTAGTTGTAGCAGCAGCAATCGTGGATGCTGTGCTGCGCTATGCTACGCTATGCTGCGCTGTGCTGTGCTAAGCTATGCTATGCTATGCTATGCTGCGCTATGCTATGCTATGCTATGCTATGCTATGCTATGCTGCGCTATGCTATGCTGCGCGATGCTAGGCTGCGCTATGCTATGCTATGCTATGATATGCTATGCTATTCTATCACATGCTATGCTAATGCTGCGCTGCGCTAAGCTGAGCTGAGCTGAGCTAAGCTAAGCTAAAGCTAGGCTAAGCTAAGCTAAGCTAAACTAAGCAAAGCTAAGCTAAGCTAAGCTAGGCTAGGCTAAGCTAAGCTAGGCTAAACTAAGCCAAGCTAAGCTAAGTTAAGCTAGGCTAAACTAAGGTGAAATAAGCAACGCTAAGCTAAGGGTGCGTAACTGGGGGAACCGCGGGGCGGATACTGGGGGAACCGCCCGGGGCGCGTTCCACTGCCCGGCCCTTTAAGCACACCGAGTAAGAACCCTTCTAGGCAGAGCCTAGGTAGGGAAAAAGGTCATCCCATACCCTTGGCCACCAATAAGACAAGCTCCTGAGTTGGATATTACTCGTTGCGCAAACTGCTGGTTACCAGCCGAAATGCTCACCACGAGGCCTCGTGACTATGTCACAAGCTTCGGGGGTGGAGGAGTACCCGTGGGCCGACACGCGGCCCGGCACCTCGACCTCGCTCGAGCGCGCCAAGAAGGCGCGCCGCGCCCTCTCCACGGCCCGCGCGCCTCGCCGGACCCCCCTGAGGAGGAGGAGGAGGAAGAGGAGGAGGAGGAGAACGAGGAGGAGGAGGAGGACGGGACGAAGACGTACCCAGAGAGCTACAACAACATAAAAGGAGCCGACGACCAGGCCTCGTCTCCCCGACGGCCGTCAAGGCGGAAAGGGTACAGAGAAAGCCTAGCCCTCACGACGGTATCCGCTGACTGCGTCAGCGGTGCTGCCTCGGGCCCCCCGCAAAAATTCAGCGAGCTAAATTTAGCACGGTAAGAAGATTCGCCATCAAGTCGGATTGCCGGCCGCAGGGATACCCCGAGGGCAGCCGGGGGCCGTGGAGCAGGCCGGCGAGGAGTTGCACGACAGCAGCGCCTTTCCGAGGGTGCCATTACCTACTTCATTTCAACAAGCCCACATGATCAATTCCGACTCTTCGGATGGCGTGGTCGTCGTCTCTTCGGATTCGAGGGCATCAGTAAAATCGGCACCGCGCTTGGTTCGAGACGCCGCGACCGCGCAGACCCTACGTGGCGATGCCGGCATCCATGATTATGGACCACCGCTTGGAGCTGCCAGCGCGGATGAGGACCAGAAGAAGCCATCGGCTGTCGGTAACTACGTATGTTATCGAAGCCACCAACGTAAGCTACTGAGGTGCACGTTGCGCCCGAGTGTGGGGGGAAGATCAATCCCTCCACTGGGGCAACGTCGCCTACGTCGATGGCGTCGAGCGGGCCGAGAGGGTTGGCTTCCGAACGGCCTCGAGACACTTTTTGGCGGTTCGGTATCCTCACCGTTTGGCAAACGATCAAAGACAAGCGGCATCCCAGAGGAGTCCTCGCTGCCTGATCTCGGGGGTGGCATCGGGAACGATGCTCCCGAATCACCAGGCCCGGCCACGCAGCCACGCCGTCAGTCGCGCATGGGAAGTGTGAGAGCTCTACGAGGAAGCCCGCGCCTCGGCCCCTTCGCGAGCAAGGTTTATGGCACCGGGTCGCAGCAATCCAATCAGGACCCCGTCAGGAGCCTCGACGTCTTCTGCGCGGACTGCGCGATCGAATGTCCCGAGCATCTGCTTTCAGGACCCGTGTGCGAAATTTTGTCCGAATTGTGCGTCGATCCTCGAGAGCCGTTGTCCAGGGGATCGCGGCCGCTGTCTGCCACCCGTGTGCCGAGGGTGTTCGACCAGCTGCCCCTGCAGCAATCTCCGATCCCCATGCCACGATTGCGCCCTCCCAGCGCCCCGCCACTGCATGGCCCTTCGAGGGAACGGGTGGGAAGAGGTAGAAGAGAGAACACGTGAGACGGCGATGGCAGAGAGCGACGTGGAGGTGCTGCAGATGAGGGAGCAACTGGCGCAAACGGAGCCTCAGCAACGAGCTGCGGCGCGCCTCGCGCAGGCCCTCTGGGAGATCGAGCAGAGTCAGCAGATCGCCGTTTCGGCGCGGGTAAACCTGGCAACGGAAGAAATGCGAGAGCTGGCCAGCAGGGTCGAGGCCTCGGTCGCCAACGAGAAGCGTGCTCAAGACCTAGAGAAACGCATCGCCGGGGAAGCCAGGCGCGCCATCCGAGGGGCCGGTGAGGCGCAGGAGGCCGCGAAGGCGAGAGCCGCCGAGGAGTACAGGGCGATGGGGGCGATCAGCCTGGAGATGTAAGTGGAGGCTCATGAGGCTATCAGCGCAGGTCGGGTTGACCGCGCTGTTGCAGAGGCCTCGGCGCCTAGGGTCGCAGAGCAAACAAAGTGCGGCGATCGCGAGGACTGCTGAGGACCAGGTCTCCGATGCTCGCCATCGGGCAGAGATGCTCGCCGATGTGGCTGGCTCGAACTATGTTCGGGCAGCCGCTGAGGTGCGAGCGGCCCAGGAAAAGGCTGCTCGCGCTGAGTACCAGGCTACTTTTGAGGCACTCGCTGCGGCTCGGAACGCCGAGCCGAGGGCCGAGCAGCCCGTGGGAACCCGGGAAGCACAACGCGAGCAGCTTTATCGGGACCAAGCTGAGCATCATGTCCGAGAAAGGCTGCAGCGGCATCTCCATCAGGTGAACCCTGGGGCAGCCCAGGCCGCTGCTCCACCGGCACTGGCGCGGCGCGGGACAGATCCAGGAACTGCGCGGAGCGGGTCCCAGGGCGGACAGTGGTGTCATTTGTGCTGGTTGCGCACTGACTATGACTGCGCACGGTGCGACAAGGCATATAGCGCCCGCCACTTCGACGCCGCTGAATGGCGACGTGTCTCGCGTCGTGAGGATTTGGCCAGGAATGAGCGCGAAGAGCCGAGATGAGGCAACAGAAAGAGGAGGCGGGGGAGAAGGATGTCAGGCGTGAGCTCGAGGAACGAATTGCATCGCAGGCCGCCCCCCGAGCTGGGCCGTTCGTCTGCCCGCCAGCGCCAGAGGTATCTCCCAACTGCGCCGAGAGCACCTGGGAACAAGCGGTGGAGCAAGGACCCTGCAATGAGGCTCTTGAGAAATTCGAAGCTTTCTAAAACATGGCAAAGGCTGAGCACCAGCGACTCACAGAGATGCCCCTGGGTGCGACGCGGGGAATGGAGAGGTATGCCGAGAAACAAGCCCACAAGAAAGAGGATAAGGCCAAGAAAATGGCACTCTGGGCTGAGAGGCAATCAGAAGCCGAGGCCGCTGTGGAGCTTCAAGTTGAGGAGTGGGCCGAACGGCGCGGGAAGGAGGAGAAGAATGCTGAGCGTACACTCGCCGTCCCCGCTACCTCCTTTCCTGGATGCGCCCCGCCGGATCCCAAGAAACCGGGCGGCGATGGCGGTGGCGATGGCAGCGCGTTCCAGGGAGAGGACGACGAGAAGCCTCGACCACCGAGAGGGCTGAGCAAACGATCCTGTGGGCCTGCGGCGGCGGCGACGTGCCTGACGACGACGACGATGGCTCCTCCGAATGGTTCGGGCGAGCCCTCCGTCGAGGAAGCGGAGGACGTCGGGGAGAGGCGTCGAGACCGATGCAGGGATCCGCCGGGCGAGCGTCCCGACGGGGACGGGGGCGGGGGCTCCGTGCCCCCGGCAGGGCGCCCGGCCCCGCGGCCTGCTGTTAAGTCGGGCCTGTGCCCCTACGGGGGGATTTTCGACGAAATATACAAAAGACCCCGGAAATGGTCCAAAAATAGTCCAAAAATAGTCTGGGGATTATTTTTTTGAGTATGCGTTGACCTTTTTGGAATATTTTTGGAGTATTTAATTTTTCGTCGAGAATCCCCCTGTAGGGGGATACGCCCGACATAAGCCTACTGGAACGGCGCTGGCAAAGCCAGGAAGGTATCCATCGACCCGGTTCCTGATGCGGCTGGGCACCGCAGGTGGAGTAGGAGTGCCATCAGGCACGTCGCATCTTGCCCCCCCAGCCGGGAGGCCGCTGCCGCGTGGATTGCCGATGAATTCAAGCTTGAGAAGGCAAATGCCGCGCCTGTTGCCTGTGTGGCCCTCGTTGAACCTCCAAGGTTGCACTTGGGCCCGTCGGGGGCCCGAGCCGAAGACCTCGGCCCTTCTGTCCACCACCAGTGGGAATGATGCATCACGTGCTGGGGGTGCGCTGTTTGCCTGAAGGCGCACCGTCCTTTGAAGGAATTCGTCTTCGCAAAAAGCGACTAGCCACCGACGTTGGGCTGTTCTGGAGCAGTGTCAGATTCTGTGCACCAAGTGGGTGACAGATGCCATCGCCGTTTGGTCTTCGACTGCAGCGACACATCGATTATTTTTGTTTGCGTCGGATGCAAAGCAATCTCGACGCTCGGCCCACTCGCCATTCTGGCCAAGGAGTGCCGCCCCCCGACTCGCAACAATTTCGAGCGGCAGCATGCGTCAGAGGCCCCGACCCCTCCAAAAGGGAAGGTGGCGAAACCCAGGGAACAGTCCCGCGCAGAGCGAAACGCACTCCGCCGAGAGGACGGCGAGTCTCCTGTGTTGGAAGCTGCTCGCGTAAGCCGCGCGAAGTCCTCGGACTCCGATCAGTCCCTGGCCCTTGGGTGGTGGCCCTCTCGCGTTTGCCATCGCGCGCGTCAGGTTTTTCTCGGCCGGCGAAGCAAGACTCCTCGCCAGTAGTTGTTTGTCTGGGGAAAAACCGAACTATTCCTCCCTCTCGCTCTCCCTCCTCGCCCTCCCTACTCTCTCTCCATCTACCCCTCGCTCCTTCCCGAGTCAAATTACCGGGTGCAATGCGACTCCTCCCGTATTAAGGTAGACGTGAAGCTTGGGTAAGGCAGGTCGGAGGAAGACAATCAGAGGTGTAGTCGGTTGTAGTAAGGCGGCTCAGCCATAGCCATGGTGCGGCCTTCAAGTGAGCTGTTCTATGAAGCCATCGTCTTCGGGGGTGCCGAGTTCGCACCTGCCGTCATCGATTGAAGCCGGCGGAAGATATGCGGAAGCCGTGTGGAAAGAAGACGAGTGCGGTGTTGCCACGTGAAGTGTAAACAGACCTTGCAAGACAGTTCAACGAGGGCGTAACCAGGGGTCTTGAGTCGGCCAGGTGGCCCACGTAATCAATCTGTCTTTCACCACTGCTTCGGGAGGATTGACACGACGTGGCCACATTGCAGCCCCGATGCGGCCTTGACGCTACTACGACCGATCAACGTGGGGGAAACAGTTGCGAGGCTGTCACAAGAACCCAGACACACGCCCTGCGGACATTCCTGCCCACCAGGCTTTGGCATCGTGGGCACACTTGGGGAGATAATTCCGGACGTCAGGCGCAGGTCTCGAAGTACATTGCAGCTCAACACTGCTGTGGGAGAGATACTTGCTCCCGCTATCAGGAGAATGTGTACCCATCTATGCAAGCACCGTGCCATCAAAAACACATAGGAGGCTAATCCCACACAGGCCCTCTTGTTTTGTCCTGCCCAATGCCAAAGCTGGAGGCTATGATGCGGCACATAGACTACACCCAATGGAAGGGTATGAAGTGCATCGACTGCTGAGAGGGCATTGGGCTTGTCGTCTTCCCCATGTTCACTCGTTCACCCGTCGTCCACTCGTTTTTCCCTTTTCCCTTACTCCCTTCCATTACCCCCTCTGCCCGTTTTCCCGCATGCCTTTCTCCCATACCCCCACGCGCGCCCTCGTGCCCCATTCCCCTTTTCCCCGTAGGCCTTCCCTCCTCCTCTTCTTTCTCCCCCTCCTCCTGAATAATCGAGTTCCTCCTGCTCCTCCTCCTCCTCCTCCTCCTCCTCATCCTCCTCCTCCTCCTCCTCCTCGTCCTCCTCCTCCTCCTCCCCCTCTTCGATCCTCGCCATCCCTGGGCGACTGCACCACGAATGCTCTGCTGCTTGCCCCGAGTGGAGCCCCTGCCCAGCTGTCCTCCCCGCCCCTGGACGGCGCGGCCCGACGCCGCGCGCTCTCTCCGGCGCCCCGCGGGAGCTCCACAGGCTCCGGGCGCTCCAGCGTGCTGCGCTCAGCACGCATGTGTGGTCGAAGCGGCGACGGCCCCCCGCGCTGAGCGGGGCCCTCTCGAGGGCTCCTCGGCGGCCCTTCGGCGGCCCCTCGGCGGCCCCTGGGAGGGCCCTTCGGCGGCCCCTCTGAGGGCCCCTCGGAGGGCCCTCTGAGGGCCCCTCGGAGGGCCCGCCGCCGGCCCTGCGTGGCCGAAGCGGGCGGCAGGCGGAACATGTTTGGCAGGGACTGAGAGAGGCACGACGGCGGCATTCGCACGGTCGGGCAGTGATTTTCTTTGCACGATGGCGCATCGGTGTCGCAGCGTCGGGTCTCGGGCAGGCGCCTGCGATCTCGGGCGCTGCGCAGGGCTGCCGTGCAGGCCTCGAGCAGGCCGCGACGGGAGGCAGGAGGAGGATGCACTGCAGGGCCGTGGCTTGCCGGCTGGGAGGCCGTGTGCTTATGGATCGTCTCGCCGATCGGTGCGGTTCCAGTGGCCACCCCCCTCCCCCCCCCCGATGGGCCAGATCTTGGTTGCCCTTGGTGGCTGCCTCGGCGAAAAGTCAGGGCCCCTCTCCCCCAGTCTTCCTGGGCGGCTAGCAGGAGCAGATCGACTGGGCACCTGCCCAGACCCAGACCCCCCCCCAGAAAGGGAGAAAATTCACCCTATTTGACTTGGGGTCGTTCTTGCTTGTTTGCGTTTCTTTCTCCGTCTCCGTCTCTTTTTCTGTTTTCCGTTTCTCTCCCTCTCTCTTTCTCTCTTTTTGTTTCTCTCTTTCTTTTTCTTTTTCTTTTTTGAATATCCACAAATTGAATCCTTTGGCGGGTTACAAATCGATTAAATTTGTAATCCTCCCAAAAGGAATTCCATTTGAAACCCAAGGCCAGAGGCCCAGGAGGATACCAGGGAAAAAGGCAACAAAAAAGCAGAAACACAATGGAAAAAGCAAACAAAGCACAAACAAAAAAAGCTGTGACTCTCTGCGATTTGCAAATCCACGACCAGAATACAATTAAAATCAATTACATTATGGTGGTATATTTGAAAAACGCAGAGAATCTCAGTTTTTTTTTTTTTTTCCTGGTATCCTCCTGGGCCTACCCAGGGCCAGAGGCCCAGGAGGATACCAGGGAAAATAACAAAAAAAACAGGACAAACATTGAAAAAGCAACACAAATCAACAAACAAGCTTTTTTTTTTTTTGTTTTTTTTGTTGTTTGTTTTTTTCTATCCAAATCTACCACCATAATGTAATCTATTTTAATTGTGTTCTGGTCATGGAAATCGCAGAGAGTCTCAGCTTTTTTTGTTTTTCTTGTTTTTTTCCAGGTTTTTTTTTTTTTTTTTTTTTTTTTTTTTTTTTTTTTCCCCCCTGGTATGCTCCTGGGCCTACCCAGGGCCAGAGGCCCAGGAGGATACCATGGAAAAAAGCAGAAAGAAAAGCACAACAAACCATGGGAAAGGCAAACACAGCAAAAAAAGCAGAGACCCTCTGCGTTTTTCAAATCTACCACCAGAGTGTAATTCATTGTAATTGTATTCTGGTCGTGGATTTGGAAATCGCAGGGAATCTCAGTTTTTTTTTTTTTTTTTTTTTTTTTTTTTTTTTTTTTTTTTTTTTTTTTTTTTTTTTTTTTTTTTTGTTGTTTTCAATGGTTTTTGTGGTTTTTTGGGGGGGAGGGGGGGGGCTTTTTTTCCCTGGTATCCTCCTGGGCCTACCCAGGGCCAGAGGCCCAGGAGGATACCATGGAAAAAAGACAAAACACCAGAAAAACAATGGAAACAACAAAAAAGCAACCAAGCTGAGACTCTCCGCGATTTGCAAATCCACGACCAGAATGCAATTAAAAGTGATTACATTATGGTGGTAGATTTGAAAAACGCAGAGAGTCTTAGTTTTTTTTGTTTGTTTGCATTTTTTCGGTTTTTCCATGGTATGCTCCTGGGCCGACCCAGGGCCAGAGGTCCAGCAGGATACCAGGGAAAAAAGCAACAACAAAGCAGAACAAACAGGGAAAAAAACAAAACAAACAAACAAGCTGAGACCCTCTGCGTTTTTTTCAAACCTACCACCATACTGTAATTGATTGTAATTGTATTCGGGTCGTGGAAATCGCAGAGGGTACCAGCCTTTTTTTGTTTTTTTTTTTTTTTTGTTTTTTGTTTTTTTGTTTTTTCTCAGAGTTTCCATTTTTTTTGTTAGTTTGCCTTCTTGTTTTTTACCTGATATCTTCCTGGGCCTACCCAGGGCCAGAGGCCCAGGAGGATACCATGGAAACAAGCAAAACAAGCAGAACAAGGGAACAAGCAACAACAAAAAAACAAAACAAGCTGTCTTCTACCACAATCATGGAATTGATTTTAATTGTGTTCTGGTCGTGGATTTGGAAATCGCAGAGAGTCTCAGCGTTTTTTTTTTTTTTTTTTTTTTTTTTTTTTTTTTTTTTTTTTTTTTTTTTTTTTTTTTTTTTTTTTTTTTTTTTTTTTTTTTTTTTTTTTTTTTTTTTATAAAAAAAAATATATACATATATATATATATATATATATATATATATATATATATATATATATATATATATATATATATATATATATATGTAATGTAATGGTTTTCCATAGTTTGTCTGCTTTTTTTTTCTTTTGTTTTTTTTTTTTTTGTTTTTTTTCCCTGGCAGCCTCCTGGGCCTACCCAGGGCCAGAGGCCCAGGAGGATACCAGGGGACAAAAAAACATAATAACCAGGGAGCAAGCAAACACATATAAAAAAACAGCTGAGATTGCCTGCAATTTTCAAATCCACGACCAGACTACACTTAAACTCAATTACGTTCTTGTGGTAGATTTGGAAAAAAAAACGCAGAGGGTCGCAGCTTGTTTTTTTTTTCATTCATGCTTTTTCCATTGTTTTGTTTTTGTTTCCCTGGTGCCCTCCTGGGCCTACCCAGGGCCAGAGGCCCACGAGGATAACATGGAAAACAGCAAAAACGCAGACAAACCATGGAACAAGCAAACAAAACAAAACAAAACCTGAGACTCTCTGCGTTTTTCAAATCTACCACCAGGCAGCATGTACTTGATTTTAATTGTATTCTGGTAGTGGATTTGGAAATCGCAGAGAGTCTCAGCGTTTCTTTTTTACTTTTTGTTTGCCTTTTCCATATATATATATATATAATATATATATATATATATATATGTTTTTTTTTTTTCTCCCCCTGTTATCCTCCTGGGCCTACCCAGGACCAGAGGCCCAGGAGGATACCAGGGAAACATAAAAAAAGCAGAAACACCAGAGAAAAGGCAACTCAAGCAACAACAAGCTTAGACTCTCTGCGGTTTTCAAATCCACGACCAGAATACAATTAAAATCCTATACATTCTGGTGGTATATTTGAATAACGCAGAGAGTCTAAGCTTTTTTTTTCCTTGGTGTTATTGCTTGTTTTGTTTTTTTTTTTCTCCCATGGTGTCCTCCTGGGCCTACCCAGGGCCAGAGGCCCAGGGAACATATCAATGGAAAAAGCAAAACAAAAAAAACAGCAAAACAAGCTGAGACCCTCTGCGATTTTCGAATCCACGACCAGAATATAATTAAAATCGGTTGCATTATGGTGGTAGATTTGGAAAACGCAGGGAGTCTCAGCCTTTTCTTTGTTGCTTTTTTTCCTGGTATCCTCCTTGGTTTCTTAGTTTTTTTTTCCCTGGTATCCTCCTGGGCCCACCCAGGGCCAGAGGCCCAGGGAACATAACATGGGACAAAACCCCAAAAAGCAAACCAACTAGGGAAAAAGCAAAACACACAAAAAAGCTGAGAGTCTCTGCGTTTTTCAAATCCACGACCAGAATATAATTACAATCCATTACATTATGGTGGTAGATTTGAAAATCGCAGAGGGTCTCAGCTTGTCTTGCTTTTTTTGTTTGTTTTTTCAATGTTTTTTTGGAGGGGGGGGGGCTTTTTTTCTGCCTCAGGGCCCCCAGGAAGGCCAGAAGAGGCCAAACATATTGATTTTCCGTAGGTTGTTGACGGGTGTTGACGTTTCCTTCTTTTCGGCCTTCCGACGGCCCGAGACGGCCCAAGAGCCCCCACATATCGCCGAAAGATCGCCCAAGAGGCCCCCAAGACTGCCAAGATATCCTTCAAGACGCCCACGTGTTCCCCGAAGGCTTTTCAAACCGATTCGGGGAACACATGGTCCGATGGCTTGGCAGGTCTGGCCTCAACGTTCGGCCACACAAGACGGCCATGATGACCTCCAAGGCGGCCCCAGATGGCCTTCAAGTCCGCCCAAGATGGTCCAAGACGGCTTCAAGAGAGCCTCAGGAGGCCAAGACGGCCCAAGAGGCGGCCCAAGGAGCCTCCCAGGCGGCCCAAGAGGCCCCCAAGAGGTCTTCCAGGAGGGCCCGAAGAGGCCAAAATCATTGAGTTTCCTTAGGTGTTTGAAAGATTTTGGATTTTGTTTCTTCTCGGCATTCCGACGGCTCCAGACGGCCCAAGAGGCCCCCAAGATCGCCCAAGAGGCCCCCAAGAGGGCCCCATGACGCCCCAAGTGGCCTCCAGGATGGCCCCAAGAGGGCTCCAAGAAAACCCAAGAGGCCTCCAACACGCCCAAGATGGCCCCCAAGACGCCCA